TTTTTCTGCAAGCAGGTTCAGGGCATTAATTCAATGGAGACAAGCATTTATTCTTAAAAAAGAAGTGGTATATTATGTTCATTGCATGGCATTTTAAGGGCACTCCTAAATGTCACAGCAAACCATAAATGAAGGAAAAAGTTTTCTACTGAAAAATATCCTATAGTTGGGCCAGAAGTCAGAGGAACTGGAACAAATTTTGTGCATTTTTAATAGTGAGATAACTAATTACTACATCAAAATATCAATTTCATGACTTTAAATAATAATACGATCACCACTTGCAACACTCAGTAGTGCAATGAATATAGTCCACCTCTATTGCTCCCAAAGCAGATTATTTTAACCAAAATACAGGAAAAAAAAATTCCAACAATAGCAGTTTTTACGTAAATCTTTTGGCCAGGAATGGAAATATTTCAGCTAAAACTCCTGAAGTTCTTTCTTGACTTCACTGCTCTGACTCAAGGACACACCCCCAGTGAGTCATCCCTGGTTCAGTGTGCAAAGCTCCTTCAGGGCTGCCATGGGAAACGTCACCTCCCTGAGCCTCCAGCAGAGATAGAGTGCAGGAGGTACCAAAGCACCATCTCTGGGGCCCCACTGTAGCACCCCTAAACCTAAATGACTCATTCAGTCTTCTCCTTCTGGCTTTGAATATTCTGTTCCTCCACCAAATGCTCAAAAGGATGTTTCACTGGAAAGTTTTCAGCCATCCCTGCAAATCCCCGAGTTCAGAGAGTTTTTAAAGGGATTGAGTCTGGCTTAAGTGAGCTCACACAAGGGATTACAGCTGGTTTAAGAAAATACTTTCAAAAATCAATTTCACTGAAAGCAGCAAATGCCTTTTTGCTCTTTTTATTTCACATAGATGAGATCTGATATTTGACAACAGCTAAACTAGACAGTGCTACTGACAGGCTGCTGCTCCTGCCATCCAGTCCCTCTGCCCCCTTTGACTCTCCTCCCTTGCACCACAGTGATGCTCAGGAGTGAACTGGCTCAGAATGAACCATTTTCCAGCTCCCTTGCACAAATCTTTGCCCCAAAACTGTTAATCATGCAACCTGAACTCTGTTTTCTCAGCCCAGGGAGAAAGCTGTGTAAAAGCCTCGTGGGCCAAAGAAGCATCCACCCTGTCCATGGCCCTACACAACATTTAAGGCAACACAGCAGGGTGTTTATGGATCTAATATGTAGCTCAGACACAGGATGGAGCAAGCTATGCTGAAAAATGGTGCTTTTGTGCTGCCCTTCATGCCCAGCATTCCTATGCCTCTGCTGGAGGCAACCAGAGAGTACACACAGGGCAGAAGACACTTGTTGGAAAACTGACTTAAGATGCTTCAAGGGCTTTTGGAAAAAAACCCTGTTCCCTTGGACTTAAATGGAACATACTGAAAAATTATGGACAATAAGGAAAAAATGGATCATGTTCTACCTGCATAGAAACCATTTTGGAAACACAGCCTATCCCCCCTAAAAAGCCCTGTGTGTATTACAGCTATGAAGACAGCATCCAATCTAAATTCCCAGTTGTTTAAAATAAAGACAACAGAGGAAGGTACTGGTTGTACCCTGTGTATCTGAGCCAAGCAACATTCGTGCCTGTGACAACCCTGATATGTTGGGCTTTTTGAACTTCAAGCATCTGAGATTCTCCTGCCTGACCTTGGCAGTCCCCAGTGTTATCTACCAGGCTCCACCACACAATGGTTTACAAATAACTTTTCCACATGGTCATAAGAGCAGCAATAGGAATAACAGGAAATTATCCAAACAAAAACATGACCCTCACCCTGCCCAGACTGCTCCTCTGAGGTGCATCCATCTGCTCACTGCCAGCAGTGCTGCAGATAAGATTAGACCCGCTGCTCAAACCTCCCGGTTTCCATTCTGCTCACTCTTTTTCCATCCTAAAAAGGGAGATAATCTGCAGGTTGAGGAAGGCTTTGTACTGGAGAGTGAAGTAGCTGTCTGTCAACAAGGAAGGGTGACCCTCTGGAAAGACTCGCACTGAAGTCCCTGATTTTGGGCCTCAAATCATGACCCTGCACTCCTCCTCTGATGTGACCACCTTCACACACCAGATCAAATGAGAAGGCAGCCGTGGTGGTAGAGCCTGCCAAAGGACACAACAAAAGCCAGGATAATCCTCCCTATACCTGGACCCAGAGCAGCCTGGTGAAGTTAAAAGCTCAAGAAGGAAACTCAAACTCAATGATCATTCTGAAAGCTGAGAGTGGAAGGTTTCAGAGGATCAATAAATGAGAAAAGCAAGAAAAAGTGTGACCAGCAGGTTGAGGGAAGTGGTTGTGCCCCTCTACTCTGCTCTCGTGATACCTCACCTGGAGTACTGCACCTCTGGGGCCTCCAACATCAGAAGGATGTGGACCTGTTGGAGTGAGTCCAGAGGAAGCCATGAAGATGTTCATAGGGCTGGAGCACCTCTGCTGCAGAGACAGGCTGAGAGAGACAGGGTTGTTCAGCCTGGAGAAGAGAAGCCTCCAGGGAGACCTTAGAGCCCCTTCCCATACCTGCAGGGGCTACAGGAGAGCTGGAGAGGGACTTTGGACAAGGGCAAGTAGTGATAGAACAAAAGGGAATGGCTTTGAACTGAAAAAGGGCAGGTTTGGATTAACTATAAGGAAGAAATTCTCTCCTGTGCGGGTGGTGAGGGACTGGAACAGGTTGCCCAGAGAAACTCTGGCTGCCCCATCCCTGGAGCTGTTCAAGGCCAGGTTGGACGGGGCTTTGAGCAACCTGGTGTAGTGGAGGAGTATTTCTCTGGAAAGGTGTGGATGCATGGGGTGTCAAGGAGCAGGAACTTGCCTGTGAGCCATCAGGTAGTATCACTCCCCCTTCACGTTGCACTGAGGACACTCCCAGGGCACAGCAGGTTCTCCTTCCCACAGTGGCACTGCCTCTGTCTCCAGCAGTGTGGCAACACTGGTTGTGCTCAGTTACCAAAGTGTATCTTGAGTGCTGTAAATCCACACCCACGCAGACACACTCCCAAAGCCCGGGCCCAACGCCCAGCTCAAAGGATTTGAGCTCGCTCTTATTGCAGCTCAGTAAATTAAAAAAGTCACAGTTGTGCCTGCTCTCCATGTCACTGCCTCAGCCACGGAGGCAATGGGTTCAACCAGGCAGGTGCCAAGGTCTCTGGAGCCACAGCACAGGGATCCCCTCCTATTTACATCTGAGGACCAGGTGGGGTCAGGACTGTTGCTGTAGATGCTCTCTGACCCCATAATTTTGAGTTATGGGCTGGCTCATAGCAGAGGAAAGCAAGCTCTGAAAGTGATTCTTCTCAAATCATGTCCTTATTTGTTTTATAGCAAGATATTATCTGGTAAAGGACTCTGGTTTTATATGGGACAGAGCTCAGCAGAGCAGGTGCTCCCAGAGGACAAACATTCACTGAGGTCTTTGTGTTTGTAGTTGTTAAATGGATTATTGCACTGAGACCTAAAGAGCCCAGCTGAGCTCAGGATCCCACCATGCTGGGCATCCAAACCCAGTAAAGGACAGTCCTAAGGTTCTGGGGAGACCTCACTTCAGCCTTCAGTACCTAAAGGGGGCTTATGAAAAAAGAGGGAGAAGGACTTCTTACATGGGCAGACAGTGATAGGACAAGGGGGAATGGTTTAAACTAAAAAAGGAGAGACTTAGATTAGATGTTAGGAAGAAATTCTTCACTCAGAGGGCAGCAAGACAATGGATGGAACAGGTTACCCAGGGAAGCTGTGGATGCCCCATCCCTGGAAGTGTTCAAGGCCAGGTTGGATGGGGCTTGGAGCAACCTGGGATAGTGGAAGGTGTCCCTGCCCACAACAGGGAGTTGGAACGAGATGATCTTCAAGGTCACTTCCAACCCAAACCATTTTAGGATTCCGTGATTCAAAGTCTTTTACATTTAGATAGAGAAGAAAAAGAAAATGTGTGGGGAAGGATGCACAAAGAGATTAAATGAGGTGCTCAAGGTCATGTGTGGCCATGAGGTTTACAAACCAAATGTATTTTACCCTGCTACTTTACCCCTCCCACTGAAAATCTTATCACTGCTTGTGGGAGGGGGGGTAATTTGGAAGGCCCACCCTTCATTTAGTTAATTGTGATCATTACCAAAAAAACCTGTGTAAATAGCACATTTCAACATACCATAAAATATAGTCCATGTTACTAATTTACCTCCTAGATTTACAAGACTGTGGTGATTAGTGAAACATGAGAGAAGAATGTCAGAAAATATGGAGAAATATATCATAAAAATACCAAATGAGAAGAAAACCCAGATATAAACAGACACACACCCTGGCTGATCCCATTTTGACTGCACAGTTGGGCTCCTGGTCCCAGTTACGGCGCCAAGCTGGGTGATGCTGGCACAGAATTGTTCTTCCTGTGCCATATAAGCCATTGTCATATCTGGACTTTTTACAACAGGGCAGATTCTGGGTTTCCAAGATAAGAATGAGAATAGGCTTTCCTTCCCAGAGACATCTCCTGCCAGCCCTTGGGTTTCCACTTCTCTGCAGTTCCCTTGTGAGGCTTAAATGACAGTTTTCCCAGGGATTGAAGGTGGGAAAGAAGTGTGCTGGCAGAGCCCAGACCAACAGCCCAAGCGCACAGACCACACCACAGATGCTCACACCATGTCTCACACTGAGCATTAGGGCTTGGGCACCTGAGTAACCTGAACAATTTGGGGAGGAAACGAGCCAGGCAGGGCTGCTGAGAGCAGCACAGCCCACCCCACAACCATTTCAAGCAGTAGCTCGTGAGCTTGGGAAATGTGGCCATTCCTGACACGGCGGATTCCTCGCGGCTGTCTCCGGAGCTGACAGCATCCCTCAGCTCGTGTGCTACAGGAGGTATGAAGGATCTGGTCTCACTGCTCCAAGCCCTGCCTCCACACCACACATAAATGTCCTGGTTCACCCCAAGCACCTCTCACAAAGTGCCCCACTGCCCGTGACAAAGCAGACTTTACTTACAGATCTGTGACTCTGGAGATCTCAGCACCTTCTTCGACTCCTGCCAGATGGTTTTGCAGTCCTCCTGGAGCTTATAAAACCGCTCCTTTCGCCAGGAGCTGGACTTCACTTTTAGCAGCTGGCTGCCCTTCAGGAGGAACTTCAGATCCTTGTCATCTTTGAGGCCTGTGGTGAAACAGGAGTGGTAATGTAAGAGACAGCTCAAGAAATGATGCTCAAGGAGTCTTCCCTTCCACAGGACAATAGAGACAGACAGACAACTGCAGAGCAGACAGGTTGGGGAGGACAGCTGAGCAAAGACACACAGAAATCAATCCTCCACATCACACTTCATGTTCACAAAAGAGGCTGAAGCTTTGTACATTTCTTAGATTGAGCCTAAAGACTTTTGTATGGCAATTCTCATGTGGTTTACAAACATAAAATACTTTCTTCCCAGCAAATACAGTTACTGTTAGGATGCAAAAACTACAGTAAAACAAACAACAAAACAGTAGCAGCAGAATGAGGAAAGTTGCATAACTTGTAATTGGAATGCTGTCAGGAACTTTCAAGTGGTTTCAAATCTATTCTGCATTTCCTTTGTTGGAACACACAAAGGTGTCACTCGTCCTTCTCTGGCAAGTAGCACCTTGCTATCCACATGGGAATTCTGCAGATCAGTGACATGAAGCTTAGGACAGGGAAGTTTGGTGAAAGGTAACAATATACCTATGAGGTAATATTAAGGTAGTAACCATGTTCTCCTTACTTCTCAACCACTCAAGAGGATCTTTATCTTTCTTACACTACTAGGCCACTGCAATGTCAAGTAATAACAATCAGACCTTCTAATTCCAGAAACTTCACATTTCACAACTTAGCCTAGATTCAGGAAGGCACTTAAGACATCTAGAGAGGCAAAAGGCACCTACAGAGGCTTTGAAAACACAGATTTGGCATTTTACATGGTTTTGAATGTCTCGGCAGTATATGACTTCCACATACCTAAATACCTTGGAGAATCTGTCCCTCAAACAAACCATTAATTACAGATCTGGAGCGTGTGGGCTGAGGAAGGTGAGAGCATGACACATGAGAAACACTTCTTGGGCTTTCTGTAATAGGCACCTTGCATCTCTCTGACATGGCATGAAAGGCTGGTTCAGAGCTGGTGAAACAGCATTTAACTCTAGTGCTGATCACGTACATCCCAAGTCAGCTGGATTTTTTCTAACCCTATCTTAACACTGTAGGTAACCACTTGGCCACTTGCAGCCACCCAACACATCATGCAAAAATTCCCAATGCTACCTAAACATAATGTGGGGTGTCACAAAGCAGAACTCCAGCTTAACTGATTTATGCAATAACTTTTCTACTGCAGTGTCCCCTGTGACACAGGGTTGGTTCTTCTCTGGAAGACACACCTGCCTTGAATTTTCCTTTTTTAAACAGAGCAAGGCAATAAACTACCAAATTTTGGGCCTGCTTGAAAAATAAAACTCAGTATGAGATCCAAGTGGCCAAATTCCTAGAATCCTGACCATTCATATAGGAAACTGAAGTACCAGGTGCTGCAGAGCACCAAGGTGCACTGTCAGTTTGTAACCAGGATACAGTGGCCTGAAGAGAGCATTTTATGTTGCCAAAGCCTGAGATCTCCAGGGGTGAGGGGTGTCCAGGGTTTACTTCATGAGCCACTCATATGCCTTTACTGGTATTTGAGGTGCCAAGGATCATGCCCAGAGCTGAGCCTGGCCAAAGCATTCAGAGTTGAAAGTGTCACAGTGGGAACTGGAGATCCTGAAGAAGTGATTGTGGCATCTCTCTTTCCTCTACATTAAATTAGCTATCTCATTAATTAAGTGTCTTCCCATGCTACAGCAACCCCTGGGCCTCTCAGCTCCTGTCTGATCCAGTGATTCCCTAGAAGAGAATTTGAATGCTTCCTCCTCTGGAAACTTCAGAAAAAAACTCATGGGGAGAAGAAAAAAAGCTGTCTCCTGCACAGTGCAGAAGGATGAAAAGTTGATCCTGTCTACAAGATCTGGGACAGCATTCCCAGGGACTGATAAGAGGCCAGATCATGCAGAGGACAGACAGATACCACAACAGCTTCATGAGTCCTCAGCCTCCAGAGCTGTGCTTCTGCTCTGAGGCAAAGGTCTTCCAAGTGCAGAGAAGATACCACAGCCTCCAGCCTCACTAACATCCCTGTGGCATTCCTCAAGGTTGCTGGAGAGGAAAAGAACTTCTTCCTTCTCCCTGTTCACCCACATTTCTGTTCTAGCTCCCAGACTCATTCCTTCTTTTTCTTCAGATCCCAACCACACAAGTCATCATTACGGGAATAGGAGAACATGTCATCCTAGGGTGACATGAGGAGGAAAGCAGGAAAACCTCAATTCCTTTGGATGCCTATGTCCATAAATGGGTAATGAGAAATCCCTTTAACTGGGGCACGTTTGGTTCCTCAGACACCGTGTGCAGCATCTGTAATGTGTCCTGCTACCAGGACATCCCAGAGCTGCACCAATGTCATACAGACAAATCTGGATAGGCACAGGTGGTGGCCATGGGTAGATTCCTCTCCTCCAGGCTTAGACCACACAGTTCAGACACAAGCTGGAGCTCAGAGCCCTTCATCCTGCTCACCTGCACAGCCCAGTCACTGTATCAGCGTGGGTCAAAACTCCCCTTCATCTTGCAAGGTTCTAACTATGGAGTGGGAGCAACCCTACCAATCATTCTTGGTTGCTGTGCCTGAGGACCAGGAAAGGTTAAATGATCAGCAAAGGAGGGCACTGCACTTTGCAAGAGCTGGAGGGAAGGATGAAGAGGGACAGTGCATGGTGAAGGCATGGCAAGGACAAAAGCTGGCAGGGAGCCTGAGTCAGGGGCAGTGAGAGAAGGCAGGGAGGGGACGGAGACAAGCTTCCCCCTAAGAGGCAGCAGGTTTGGTCAGGAAAGGGCAAGAGGGCTAATCATGAATGTCTAACAGCTCTGACATCCCTTTGATGTGGGGTCCCTTCAGATAGAGGGCAGTTACCCAGAGCTGACCTCTCCTGGCTGAACCACCCAGAGGAAGAAGGGACATCCCCTTGGCCAGGTGGGCCCAGCCTGTGTCAGGCCTGCTCTGGGTCTGTGTAGCAGCAATTCAAGCTGACACAGCTGAACTGGAGAGGAAAGAGGGCCAAAGTTTCAGGCCCTGCCTCCTATGCCCAACCAAGCACTGCCACAGACTCTTTACATGCCCTTGGGTGAGTCACTTAGCTTCTCTGGTCCTACCTACAACAGCGTTTTGTTAGGTCAGAGATGGAGCTGAAGACGCTCTGATCTGCTGATACAGGAACCACAAACTCACCCCTGATGTGTCAGTGGGACATTACTCTCAGCTGGTCATCTGAACTGCTTTCCAGAAAAAAAACACCTTTTCCCAGCAGAAGCCTCATTTCAGGTTTTATGCCTGAACCAGCTCCTGAGGATTTCGGCCTAAAAGCTCCATGGAGAATCATGGAATGGTTTGTACTGGAAGGGACTTTATAGGTCATGTAGTTCCAACCCCGCTGCCATGGGCAGAGACACCTTCCACTACACCAGGTTGCTCAAAGCCTGAAGCTGAGGAGTTTTGTGGTCCAGAGCTCCATCTCACAGCAATGGAAACTTGTATGAAAGAAACCAGAGTTCTCATAAACATACATAATTTAAAAGTTAAAAAACACTGTGCAGCAGGACAAGGATATTGATTTCCAACTATATAACATTAGGTATGAGAAGCACAATCACTACACTGAAATACATGTCCAAATCCTGCCTGACACACGTGGCAGGACTGTGTCTTGTTTAGCATCCTCTGTAAAATACCAAATACACATTTGGCATGCAAAATTCCAGCATGCCTTTCAAGAGTCAGGACCCTCCTCCTCACAAAACATCAATCACACACTTTCTAAACAGAATATATTCAGCATTCAGTGATGGTCAGAGGAAAAATCATGTTTGGCCAAGGCAGAAGCACCTCAAGCACACACAGCACTGCAATAACCACGATGTTAATATACTAAACTAGGAAGCTTTAGACACTGAGACATCAAAAATGTTAACCTTTGGCTTATCTAGCTCAGGTTTACAGCAAGCAGGAAGCACAATAAAACAATAGCTGTCACGGTAGAAGCCAGGGTTTCAGTTCACTAAGCAGATAGTTAGAAGGACAGTGATAATCTATATTGTTGCATTGTTCACTCCTTAATCTGCTGGTCTGATAGAACTTAATTATAGCTTCTATAAAACAAGCCTCCTCCTGCCTGCCCTCCCCCTCCCACCTGCTTACAGACCAGGCATAACTCAGGTTTGCTGGTTTAAAAGGGCAGAAAGGCTTTTTGATAAAATCTAAAGAGCCTGGGTGGGTAAACGGCTGTTTCCCATTTCCACCTGCCCTCTCTATCCACGGAAATCAAGGGACTGGCATCCACTTGGGCTGTGCCTCCAGAGAGCAGGAACCAGCAATGAGTTCGTAGCCAGGCACAAAAGTTTTGAAACTGTTTCCTCTTTCGTCTGGTGAATGCAAACTGTGAGTGGTTCCCTGGGCTCTTACAGCAACAGGCAACACACCCCTGAACAGTGCTAAAATCTGGCAGGAAAAGGGCACTGCCCTCCCCAAACCCCTTCAACCAGCGGCAATTCAGAGAGCCCAGCCACAGATTTGGGAACCGACCCTTTGCCAAAGATCTCCCACATCCTTTGATGCCTCCAACGAAGCGCTTTACACATCTGGCGTGTGGTTGCAGGCAAATGAAAGGAAAAGAAACCTCGGGAACTTAAAAATAACGCTGGAGTTGTCTTTAGGGTGGAGCACTGCCTCTGCACGGGGAAAAGACGCAGAAACGAAGCAGCTGCCAGCCCAGTGCCGAGGCTGTGGCCAACCTGTCCCTTACCCAGCCTGATGCCATTCAACGCGGCCACTCGACGGCTCTGCTCCAGTAGCATGTTTTCCTGGGATACGGTGCGCTTGGGCTGCCTTCGGATGCACTGCATGATCCAGCGTGGGGCTCAGGGAGAGGCGTCGGGTGCCGGGAAGGATGGGGGGCCACGCCACCCCTGCAGGGATCCCTGCTCATCCAGGAGCCTCCGGCGTGCGCGGTGTCAAACGGGGCTCCAAGGAGGGAGCGCAGGCAGTTGGGGCA